TTTTATTTGATTTCTTGTACTGGCATTTTCCTGTTAACAAATCAGCCTAATTAAAAATGAATAATAATAAAAAGAAAGAGGAAAAATTCAGTTTGCACCGCCGAAAAACGAAAGAAAGAGAGAACAATGATACATGGCCCAGTGGATAAAGGCGTTGGTTAGATCCAGTAACAGGACCCAAAGAGTGTGAGTTCAATACCCGGTTAAGGCAGTGGAGAACTTTCAGAGAGAAATTAACAGGAGATAACTGATAACTGACATCCATCAAACATGACACGTGGAACTAGAACAATCTACCCCAGTGAGCGAAATAAAGGGTTCAGTTCGAAATTCCAACCACCTGAAGAAGGCCGGAGCGTACAAAGGCCGAAACGTTGTGATAAATATGGCGACAAAGATGAGGACAATAGTCCGAATAATGTACATAATGACTCATCTCAGAAATATAGACAGACTCTAAATAGCAGAGACTTAATTTTACTAAATAAGTTCCCGGTGATCGGAGGACGGCCATAACTAAAAGTTTCATGTGTTCTCACGCAATCATCAGGCGATCGGCCCTGAAAGTCCCACATAACAGACCATATACTTTAAATAAAAAAAAAACTCCTAAGGTAGTCTGCTACAAAGGCACACTGGAGAAAGAGAGCTCAATGCCATATTAACTGACCGCTTGCGTGAGAACACATGAAACTTTTACTTGTGGCCGGTTAGTTTTCACGTGGAATTTATATATATATATATATATATATATATGTGTGTGTGTGTGTGTGTTTAATATAAGTGGTTATTGTGATTTGGTAACTGTACGTGGGTCATTTAATAAGTAAATCGAAGTAAGTAATCTTGCAAATAAAGATCAAAAATATATTTCAATTACATACTTTAAGTTTATTAGAATCAAAATATAGAGGTCAACAGAGTTGTAACATTGTGACCCCTTTTATTGAACTTGTGATTTCCCGAAACCCTATTTTTTCTGGCACCCATAAATTTTACCAGGCCCGCTTGTGGCCAAGTGACGCTCGGTTAAGAACCACTGGACTAAATGGAATGAATCCCGGTGAAAAGTAATCGGCCACAAGTCAACGTCAAGCAATTTATGGAGGACACGAAGTGACACAATAAATAACACATAAATTAATCACAAACTAAAATAATTTAATTACTGCTTTGCCTTAAAAATTCAAGAACATCACTTACTCATTTTCGTTTATTATATATTGAATTGTGTCACTTCACATCCGCCATAGCTTGCCTGACTTTATATACAGAGAGAGATTATAGGGGAAGAATGGTCAATATCTGGGATAGATCGTTTATACCTATAGACAGTGCGGATATAAGAATTAACGCTGAGCCGTGACTTGGATTCTTAGCTCAAAAAGAATCTTCAGACCAAGTTCCACTTTCCTCTTTTGGAAATGCAGTCACACAATTTCAAAATGAAGACACGCAAACAAATTTCTTCTACGCTACTTACAATCCCATCATGCTCAAATAGACCCATGAAGAATAAAGATCCAATCAGTAATTTCATGATCGTAAGCTAACAAATGTTATTTCAAATAGTAAATATTGAACCAATGAAAAACAGACGAAGGAAAATATACAAAGAAATAAAGTATATGATTAAATAAAATACGAAATAGTAATTACATATGCAAAAAAAGAAGCAATTTAGATTTAATAACCATGAATAACTCAAATCATTGGCTCTAAACAAAAGAACTGCAAAAGGGTCTTTTTCTTCTTCTCTGAATTATCCAGAGTCCTGTATATATAGCCTGTTAAAGAATTAATGGCACTTATTTCAAAGATAGAATTGAGACGTGACAAAAGTCCCACATGACAGACCATATACTTCCTCGTTCCTTAACTTTTGTCCAGTAGATTATTTCCTTTGTTCCATTTAATCTTTATTTTACAAAAAACAAACTATTATGTAAATTTTTGTAACTTTGTATAATATTTATGCATTACACCCTAATCTTTATTTGGTAAAAATTTCATTGCTAATCATGCATTACTTTTTAAGTAATACACATATTTATGTCTTTATTGTTTCCGTTCCTTATATTATGGCCCGCTATATATATATATATATATATATATATATATATATATATATATATATATATATATATATATATATATATATATATATATATATATATTTATTTATATATATATATATATTTATATATATATATATATATATTTAATTATATATATATTTATTTATTATTTAATTTTATTTTATTTTTAATTTAATATTATTTTTTTATTTAAACTAAACAATGAAAATATTTTTT